CTCAGCCATAGGGATGGCTCAAGCCAAGCTCCATGGATGAGGCAATGATGAGGCAACAGATGCATCAACGGCATCTCACTCGTAGGACAGTTTAGCCAAGGCAAGACAGACCAGGGGGTTGCTGGCACCACTGTCATTCTTGCTACAGCACAAAGGAATTCCCAGCTCTTACCTTCTCCTGATGCAGCCAGGCTCGGGTGCACCCTCCACTGTGCCCTACACAAGTCCTGGCACTTGGGCCAGCAGAGCTGCTTCCAGCAGGGGCTCTGCCCACCCTGCAGGGGCACTGTGCCCCCCTGGCAGCGTACCCAGCTCCAGCAGGGGCTCTGCCCACCCTGCAGTGGGACTGTGCCCCCCTGGCAGCATACCCAGCTGCATTCTGCAACGTGATCTCCACCAAACGCCATCCCACCGCCTTTCCTGCAGCTCTGACTGTCCAGACTAAAGACTTGGCTTCCTGGACACCAGCTGAAATCCCCTGGCTGCTCTTTTATTGTTCACCTGCTTAATGCTGCAAACACAGCTCCAGGTCACCCCCCTGTTGCAACAGGCAGGAGAAATCTTCTGCATGTGGGGCAAGGGAAGCCCATGGACCTGGCTCTCATGGAGGAAGGTGCCCTGCAAGGGTGACAGGAAGCCTCAGGTCACAGCAGCCCCAGGGGTCAGTGCCAGGAAGGGGAGAAGAATGGAGCAGGCTTCCCATGAGGTTCAGGCACAGGGCAGGAAGGCAGACATTGTCTGTGAGGCCCCTCTGCTGCACAGTGTGTTAAACATTACCCAGCACCTTCCCTCTCACTGCCCCAGGGTCACACAGGGCAGCTCCCCCTGCCACTGGGGGCTCTCCACCGCACCCTGGCTCAGGGAGCAGGCGGCAGACACCAGCAGAGGATGGGGATGCTCTTTCAAGGCTGGAAAAGTACTTTTTCCCTCTGTGGTCAAGCCAGGAACACCCCTCCCTGACCCACTGACCCTCCCCTTCCTGATGTGCCCCCTACCCCATGCCTCTCTCTTGCATTGTGTGGGAACATTGCCCAAAACATGCTGGTTTCCCCTCATTTCCTTCCTCTCAAGACACCTGGACCTTCCTCCTGCCACCCCTCATGCTGATACAGGCCAGGCCATGGGTTTATTGTCCAGGAAACCAAACAACCCAACACCCAGCTCAGGGCTGCTGGGGTGACCTGCTCAGGGACAACACAGCCACCAGGGCTTTCATACTCTGAGGATGACAATTTATTTCAGCAAAACCGCCCTGACATATTTGAGGAAAAACAGAAGCAGCAACTACCAGCAAGGACACCCCAACAAAGGCTGTAGGGGAAGTATTTTCCACCACAAAACATGTTTTGAAATGTTTTTGGAATTGGTGATTTAACTCAAGCTGTTAGTAGAAGAGCCCTGCTTAAACAAGTCAGTTTTGCATGCATTAAGCAATGCAGCACAGAAACAAAAGAAAAAATCTCTCCAGCTTCAATGCCAGGTTAAAAGTTATTGGGAGGCAGCCAATATAATTGGGGAAGGTTTTTAAACGCCCTCTTTCAAACTAAGATGCCTCAGCAGAGATCTGTGCACACAGAACACATCACAAATGGCAACGCCAATGTCATCCTTCTCACACACTGAATTTTAAAAACTTAAAACACCTTTATCTAAATCTCTGTCCTGTTAAAAATGCACTGAGAAGCACAAAGCTACATCCCACTCAAACAGAATTTATGGATAAGTGGAGTTCCTTGCTCTGCTACACCAGCTTGTTTCTGCTCCATGACCATGGATTCAGGAATCCCTGCAAGCACAGCTTTGCTGGTCGTGGAATGTGCACTGTGAAACACAAACTGATCACAGAACAGTCTGAGTTGGAGGGACCCACAAGGATCATTGAGCCCAACTCCTGAATGAGCCATACAGGGACCAAACCCACAACCTTGGTGTAACTAGAACCTGCTCTGACCAGCTGAGCTGCCCCAGAATCTGCACAGTTTGGACTGAAAAGGGACCTTAAAGACCATTTTATTTCAACCCCCTGCCATGGGCAGACACACCTGCCATTAGACCAGGTTGCTCAAAGCCCCATCCAGTCAGCCTGGCCTGGAACACTTCCAGGGATGGGACATCCACGGCTGCTCTGGACAACCTGTGCCAGGGCCTCACCACCCTCACAGGAAGAATTAATTCCCAATATCCAAGCTAAGTCCATCTGTTGCCATGTATGCTGGAGTCCAGCTGAAAGCCAACCCCACAGAGCAGAGCAGAGCAGAGCAGACTGAGATGCAGGAGACAGACAGACAGACACTGCACTCACTGGTGGGCATGCACAGCCTGCTCAGAGGGGTACAGCCCGTGCTGGGTTCAGCTCTGTCCCACTCTGGACACTGCAGACCCCGAGGCAGTGCCAGCACTGGAAAGGAGCAGCCACAGCACCAAACCACCCCAGGCTGGGACTGCAGAGAGCAGCTCTCAGCTGCAGGGAGGCACGGCCACTGTGTGTGCCTGGCTCTGCAGCACCAGATACAGCCACGAAAGGGCCCTCCTGACCCTGAGACCTCCATGGACACAGAGCTGAGCCTGAGCTGCTTTTGAGCAGGGGAGATTCCTGCATGTAAGACTGGGCAGCCACAGATGGTAAAGGACTGGCCTTTCTCACTCATCAGTGAGCTTCTTTTTATGGCTTCTCAGCTTTCATTATGAGGAGCAGGAAGAGTGAAGTGCTGGTGTCCCCAGGCAGTGCTAACAGGATGTGACTGTGCCCTGACTCATCATCCTCTTTTCTCCTGAAGAGGAGAGGGCTGCTCACACCTGGGCCATGGACACCTATGGCCACACTCGTCAGCACAAACCCACTGCTTCCCAAACTTGCACTTCAGAGGCTGCAGAAAGCGACCTTCACATCACACAGCTAGAACTTTATATTTTCAGAGGGTTCTCACAACCAAAAGGACCGAAGGACTCCAAAACGCCCTCAAAATTTAAAGAATAACACAGCGGTTTTCTGAGGAGTGTCTGAGCTAGCAGGATTGCACTGAGGTATTAAGTCCAAGAAATTAAAGCATTAAGGCACACAGCTGCAGAATATGACTAAATACACAATTATTGTTCTCTATTTTACAATTGAAAACTTACCATGTTTGAATAATCTCCAGTGAAATGTATTTCATGGGAACTGGAAACAATTTGCATTAAATGAACCAGATGAACACCACTGTTAGTGAGTCCACGTGCACACGAGCAGAACTGAGGTGCCTCAGCTGAGAATTCTCTCTGCCAATACCGTGGCTCATCTTCCATCCTGACAAACTTACACCCAAGATTTCCCTGATACATTTCCCTGCCCATCTAAGGCAGTCATTCAGTAGCAGGGATGTCTCACAGGCTCACATTCCAAGCAGATGCAACATCCTACACATCTGACAAAGCAATTCAGTTCTCACCAAAGAAACATCCCAGAAGGGCTCATTCAGATGGAATTCTTCCAGTATTTGTTTTTCAATTACTGGAAGAAACATCACTGTGGGGTAAACGATTTTTTACCACTCAGTAGATTTCAAATGAGACACACCATATAAGACACCAGAATTTTTTTTGTATTTGTCTACTAAACATCCTCCTGAACAAGGGCATGGATGTGCTAAGGCACACCCTCACTTGCTGCAAAGGCAATCATGTAAAGTAATAATAAGAGAGATGGTTAATATTTAATGTTAATATTTATAATATGTTCATATTTATTTATTTATGATTGGCTGGGACATAATTCTTCTAAAGAAGAAGTACAGTTCAGGGAAGTCTGCAGGGTAAGGATGCACTATTGCTACAATATATAGCACAGGCACACCAACACCTGGCCAACCCAAGGCTGGAAGTGCAATTAAAAAATTACAGAGAAATTGCTGCAGGCTATGTCTTTGCTTATGTCTCACTGCAATAATTACAAAATGGAAAAAATAAAAAAAAGAACAATAAGTGTGTCTTACAATGGCAGCTACAGTTGGATATTCCAGTCAGGCTCTGCAACAGAAAGACTGCCAGTCAGCTGTGGCTGCTACACTTACAACAGAAACACTAAACACCTTGAATATCACACCCAGTGAGCCTGGAATATTGACACTGAACTTTTAAAAATGAGCAAACTTTATCACCACCTTTTACCTGTAGCATTACTCAGAAATAAACTCATTCAGGGTCTAAGGAAGAGTGCTCTGCACTGGTGTTGGGAGACAGGAATTCAAGACAAACTTGTAACACATCAGGTGCTACCAGGAAGGTCCCATGAAGAGCAGCAGATATATTTATCACCTTTTTAGGCTTCCTTCCTCCCGCCCAGCCATCTACTGCATCTGGAAGAATGTTTTAATGCCAATTCTGACTTGAACTTTTTAAATTGAAAAATAGAAGAGTTAAGTTACCTGGGTCTTACACCAGGACTTACTGCTTGCCTGGAGTGAAACCATGTGTACTTAAACTGCACCCTGGGGTGGATCCAAACCACACAGTCTCCAAACAGGGAGGAGACTTTCCTTCCTCAAACTTGCTGAAATTATGTGAGTGACTCACTGAATGTCCTTTTCTTGAGTCAGCACTGAAACAGAACTCCAGAATTCCCTTTGATTTACAGTAAAGATAAAATACTGTAGGATTGTTGGTCTTTCTTAAAGGATGATCAGTGACTGCTCCCCTGAGGATGTCTCACCACTAAACCCACTTGACTCTTGCACAAACCAAGGCTGCATTCCTACCCCGTGCTCCAGCCCTTCCCTCCCTGCGTTCAGACCTGTTGGAGCCCAGCTTTACCATGTCACACAGAGGAGGGAAGGTCATGTGGCTGCAAATCCCATTTGCACAAAGTAAACAGGTAAATAGATTCCAACTTTGAAATCAGTTTTAATAAATTCATTAATTAGCAACTTGTCTTCTATCCCAGTAAAGCAGAGTGTAGCAGGCTCAGAAGTTGGGGATGCTGAAATTTGGAGTTAGGCTGAATGAAAGACTATGTACAATACAAATCAGCTTTCTGTTGTGATGTAAATTTATTCTCATATTTTTTACCATTTATTCATCCCAAAAGACATATTGCATATTTGGAACATTTTTAAAGAAAGAGCCACTGTATTCAAGACAAGAAGTAGTTTTGTCACATCAAAACTGATGACATACTCAATAAAATTATTTTCCAGAGCAAGAACTCCTTACAAGAAATATAAATAGAATATAAACTTCATAAATGATCTAGCATGAAAAGACTAAAATAGCAAATTCATTCCATACTGAAGGCAGTACTTTACCATAGTGTGTGTGCGGTGTTTCTAAAAAAAATAAATCCATGTCCCAACAGTGGGTACTGAAACAAATACAGGTAAGCTTTTGGTTACATTTTATTCCAATAGAACAGAATGAATTGATGACTTTACTCTTTTGTCTCAGTTTACTGACTAATATGATCAGATAATAAAACATTGCTTTTAGTTTAACCCAGGCTTTGGATTTGTTCAGACACGAGGAAGGGATGGCACACTTTGGCAGCACATTGGCATTTTCAGTGTCTCACCTGACACAACACAGGAATTACCTCTCCCTGCCAACATCTCCACTCCCACAGCTGAGAACCATTTCCCCAACAACCTCAATGACACCCACTCTCTCTCGTGGCCACAGAACACCAGTGCCCATGTCCTGCTCCACCACATGCACAGCCCAGAACAGCACAGACACACATCCACATCCCTCAGTGCTTGGGGCTGGGACACAGCCAGCTCTGGGAATGATGCTCACTGAGCACACTGAGCCACTGAACAACCTGGAATTTGAAATGCTTGGAGAGGGAAGTGTCAGAAATGTGCAAACAACACGATGGGGCTGAGGGAAGACAGTAAAATGTCTGATCCTGGGAAAAGGACTGGCTTTGCTTCATTCTAAGATGTAAGCAAATCATAGAACAACCTACAGGAAGCAGTCAGCAAAAGATTCAAGAATATAAAATAATTCATACCTGTCAAAGCATTTAGAAAATAAAATTCCCCTTTTCAAAGTTTTTTAAAAAATGAGTTTATTAGTGTTATTAAACCAAGACTTCTGGAAATCATGACATTCCAATAAAAGTGATCACTACACTACTATCACTGTTAACTAATAACGTAGAACAGCTGTCAGTTTGTGAAAACTAAGTGAAGGAGTGCAGGAACTATTCTATGAATATTTTCCCTATTGTGCATGAGGGATCAGCTTTTCTCTCACTACTGTTCAATAGTGTATGATCAATAGTCCAGAATAAAGCTTCAGGAACCATCCCTATAAAACCTAAAGGGAAAAAACCTCCTTCAATGCTGTGCTCAACAGTGATGGGAACAGGCTGCTGCTTGGGCCTGCTGCCTACAGTGGTTTTTACCAAACAATATTGCAAAGTCAGATACCACAGGGTGCACCTCATACTAGGGTGATGTGAGGAGTACAGTGATTTGATTGACAAGGTTAAATCTAGAAGTCAGTGAATCCCCCCAAAAAAAGTTCTGGTAGACAATCAAACAAGAAAACCAGAGCAAGATATAAAGCTTATTGTCTATTCATATGATGTTAGCAGGGTAATAACTGTAAGGACATGTTCTGTTCTGGCATCTACACATTTGCAAAATTAAAAATTGCTTAAAAAGCTGACAACAAAAACTAGAGGGATGAAGAAAAAAATTTAACAATTCATTCATATACAGTAAGATTGGAAGTTATGAACATGGTATGTCAAATCCCTAGATCAGGACAAGATTTGCAGCAAAACAACATCCTCCAAGGGAGATGTATTGGAGTTCCATTTTTGGAAGGCAAAGCAAGATGAACTAAAGCACAGGGTTGGGGATTGGTTTGGGGTTTTTTTGAGAGAACAGTAGTTGCTCACGTACCTTATCTAGAGGTGACTGATCCTTTTTCTGAACTTCTCAAAGCAAGAATTCTTTTTTTCTAACAAATGCTGAATTCTGCTGCTGCTGCTGAAATCAGACTGAAGTTTTATGACTGTGTTATCCAGATTAATGATGAGTTCCCCTTACCTTTGCAAATGGGAACTTGAGCTGTAATGTCCCTTCCCAGCAAAACCTGTGTTTCAATTGCTGATTGACCTTCTACTGCTGGGAGCCTTTGGTCAGACACTGGAAGCACCCAGCTTGCAAGCAGGAATGCATGCAGCCCCTCTCTTCCAAGCAGCAGAACTTGGCTCTGGTTGGACAAACCTCTGCTCACTTTCAACAAGTTTCTACAAAGTAAAAACCCAGGAAGGCCAGAAAATAATCCCCTATACTGCAGCCCAATTCCCCACCAGAGAAGAAAGAGGAATTCTGTGTTCACAAGCACGTGCAAAGAGGGACTGGGATGAGCAAATCAGCTGGATCTGGGGAATTCAATGCAGCTGTTTGCAGGAAGCAATCACTCTTCAAACAGACCCAGAGGTATATGCAAGAGAGAAGGAAAGAATATGGCTTCTAATTCTGTTTTATGATCAATTGCTATTGTTAATAGGAGACTCAAATAGGGGACTCAAAATTTTGAGGCAGTTGCTAATGAAACACTAATGGTGGATGAACAGCCAGAGGGGGAAAAGGCCCCTGGTGAAACCTGGCCAGCCCCACTTGCAGAGCCAGTGCAAAGGACAGTGGCTTCCCAAAAGCCATAGTGGTGACCTGGTGTTTTAGAGCACTCAGATGCTGCTGGTGGAATGAATTCGGCAGTGGATTTGTCATGGAAAAGATTCAAGCCAAAGAAATATTCTTGCAAGTGGCAGAACCCTATGGATTAAGGCAGGAGACATTCAAAATCTTACATAAAGCACACAGAAATCTGGAACAGGTAACATACTTCAGAAGACTTGATTAGAAAAATAACTTAGGGATATACCCCAAAAATACACGCACAGGTGATTGATTACCTTTGCTTCAGCTATCAGTTATCTGAGACTAATTCTCACTGTTTCATGAGAACTCTTGCAATAGATTGTGCAGGCTCACAATTCTCCATTTAGCACCAAAAAAATCCAGACATTCTGCAAAAAGGAGGAGGCAAAGACTCTGGAAGAACGCATTTAATTCAGCTACAAGGAAAATCACACTATATTTTTTACATATTTGTATTTTTAAATAAAAGGCCTGATATTGTAGTCCCCACGTAGGTAAATTCTTTGAGAATTTAAAAAAGGTGCCTCACTCAAGACACCAGGACAAATCTGAAGAAATGTTCACATATTCTAAGATTTATACTAAATCTTCCAAATTGAACTAGCAACTGATAAAACAACTTTCTAACTTTGCTACTATGAGGAACCTTTTTAAAACCTCAAACTTCAGTGCAAGCTCAGAGCACTTGTTTTATAAGTGGAGCATCTCACACGTGTGAAAAGCTGCTTGGTATTGTAACTCCAAGGCTCAGCTAATCAAGCCTAACAAAAGAAAGAACCTAAATATGAATGTAAAAGAGCACACACATTTACCATTAAAAAAGCAATAAAAACCCAGAAAGGTTTGTGCAAGGAGTCCTTGCAAAATAACTCCACTTGGTGTTTTAGTATCAAAGCACTGAAGAACAGCACCTTCCCAGTTACCCAACCCTTCTCCAGGGATTCTCACAACAGAGGAGTGAACTGTGCATTTGAGCTCATTCCTCATCATTTTGAACATGCAAATGCCAAGAACTCCTGGAAAAGGCACTGTATTAGGGAACCACAGGTATACTTGTAAGCACAAGCCCCCATGCAATGTGTACTATGCACCTGTGTATAGAATATAAATATGCATACATGCATGTAAGGAAATTAGAAATATTCCTCCTTTAATACAACCATGTTCAGCCTCAAACTGCAGCTCTCTGACGTGCTAAAGACTTTGGAAAACACAACCTTTGTCTTTAATACAAGGCCAACTTAAGCCCCAGCAGACCTGCTGTGCTGCAGGGCCCCCAGCTGTCCCCAGGGAACCTGGCACCCTCTCTGCTGCCATCGGAGAGGGACCCCCAGCCCTGCCAGGCTCCACCTCCTCAGGCTGCCAGCAAAGGAAACAGTGGCTGAAACAGGGACAAACGGGGAGGTTGAGATGCTGAAGAGATGGGGAGGCAGCATCAGGCCCCTTCCCCCTCAGGGCTTTCCTCTATGGCCCAGGACCTGCAGGCACTGCTCCTCCCAGCTCACCACCCTGCCACGGCACATCCACCCTGCAGCTCCAACACCTCCTCCTCCTCCTCCATGGCAATATGCTCCCAAGCCTTCCAGGACTCTCTCCTACTCCACTTCCTTCTGAAAATCACAGACAGAGGGATCAGCTAGACCAAAACTTAAACCAGCACAAATGTGAAATAAAAGGTAAAAAAAAAAAAAAAAAAAAGTCTTTTACTCTTACTGGACATGCTGCAGACATTGTGCCTAGTAACTGTGGCAATATCTAGTGCAAAAGAAACTTAGCATGAATCTCTTGTTTTCAAATGACATTCAACTCAAACATGCATAGGGAGAGTAAAGTTATTTTATTAAATCATGCACATCACGTGTGTTAGTGCAAATAGTTTAATCTGTACTCCAGAAATTCTATTGTATTTTTATATCTTTACAAAATAGATTTAAAACAATTAATTACTTAAAAAAATGTAATTCTGAAGTTAAGCATTTCAGAACAATATTTGCAATAACCTATATACAAGAGGTACTAAGTACCACTGGCATACGAGTGTTCTGTGGTTGGGTGGCTTCCTGCAACTGAAAAGGATGAAAAAGATGAAATGAATGAACTAAATGACAATAGTTATTTTCTACAAGTCACTTGTGGACTATTTTCTCCAACTAATAATCCTCCCATTAGCAAATCCCACGTAACTTAAGATAGAACCTTTAATTAAAGGACAATGACCCTTAAAACCTCACAAAGTAAATTATATACTAAATTTCTATTTAAATATTTAAACTATCTGTCGATTGCCATAACATCCTTTAAAGCCAATTGAATTGCTGAGATTACTTCCCTATTTTGAAATTTTTTTAGCAGAGCCATATCACTTTACCATTCTTTAACATCTTATTTAAGTCTTTAATAAACTTTTTTGACAGAACTGTTGAGCTGAACAAGACAACTACTGTCTACATTTAATTCAGCACTAACTACAGTGATTCCCACCAAAAGTCAGCAAATAGCAATAGTTATAGAACTTAGATAAGGAAAATAAACTTTGTAATGGGGACCACTGCATCATACTTACAGCCATGTGATAAGGAGCCACAAAATTTTACTACCAAATTAAAATCATCACCTGACAATGCTTCATCAGGTATGATTCCAATTTTGTAGTATTTTCTGTATCTAGATTTTCTCAGCTATCACAGACGTACTGTAGCAGTTCTCTTAATAAAAGTTACGTCCACAAAAGCTTATTCTAAAGAGCTTCTCCAGCTCAAGTCAGAAGGTATCAAATGACTGAAAAAATAAACTGATACATGTGATATGTGAGAAGGTATTCATACTTTTAAAGAACGTATCTCTTTAAATATATGAAATTTAATAAATTACATTCAAACTAAAGTTAACATAAGTTGAATCAATGCACTATGTCCATCAAATGACCAAGTACTTGCTCCCAGAAACACCTCAGTCCACTCAAGAACACACACATGCTTACACTCGCACACGCGCACACTAAATACTTGAGGCTGGTCTTCACCATCTGCATCTCTATCTCTTTAAGGCTGGACATGAATTGTGTTTATTCCCAAAACCCATTAATAAAGCAATCCTTATGAAAGAAAAATATGCTTCCTTTGAAAGGCGTAGTAAGAGAAGTTTTCTTATGTCTTGTTCCCAACAGCTCAGTGACTAACAGCAAGTAAAATGATACACTAGTTTAAAAAAAAATAGATCATACTGAAAGGCACTGAGCATACTGCATCTGTTTCCCAAGTATCTGCAAGGTTACTTGGCTTGGATGACCAAATCAGTATTTTCCTTTTAAGTCTAGCAATCGGATTCTAAAGTCAGTGTCCACAACCCTAGCCATTATAAATAATTTGGTACCAAGAAGCCTGCTTTAGGCCACCATTATAGTACTCAGAATCCCAACATACTAATTTAAAACTTGCATGAAGTTGTAAGCAAAAATATTGCTCACAGAATGATGAATCACAATTTTATTCCCTCTTTATAGACAGATACATTTTATACAGTTTAAAGCAAATGACCCTACTGCTGTTCTCACGCAGAGCTGTGCTGTATTAAGAGGTAAAAAGGAAGAGAATTAATCTGTTTTCCCTCAGTATATGAATGTTGCCAGCTTCTAAAGGGAGGACGGTGTATGGATTCAACAACAGTTCTCATGGAGAAGCTCTGGTTAGGCCTGGGTACAGCACCACGGCTGTTACAGCAACCAAAGCTGCCATCACAGGCATCCAAGGCCATTGTCTCTGTGTGGAGAGAAAAAAGAAATCAATATCATATTTGTTCTAATTCATACTAATCAGTTTACCTGGTGGTTCCTGCAAGTCCTGAGTACCTGTTGGCAGGCATCACCACAGTGTCACCCAGGAGCCCTGCTGCAGGCTAGTCCTGACCTGGAGCACCACAGCAAACCACGTTCCTCCAGCACACAGCAACTCCTCAGCTCTTGGGCACTGAGGATGGGCTGGAGGACTCTTGGCAGCTCCGTGTTCCAGCTTTGGTACTGCACACACCTCAGAGAAATCTGCCACTGAACGTGCCAAGGCTTCAGATGTTTAAAGCATGGCTCAAGGCTACACAGAGGTTTATGCACATCTTTAACTTTTGACTGTTTAAATCCAGATCTGTGACTTAGTTTGTAGCAGATCCTAACAACACCATTTTTAACAGACTGTCACAACATTGCATGACAACAATGGCATTTTAAGAGGAGGACACACTGAGAGACAAGAGAAAATGCAAGCTGAGAGTTCAGAATACAAACCAACCACCTATTTCTTGTCTTTTTTTCCCATCTTTCCATCAGCAATAGTGAGAAAAATTAAAGTGTTTAGAGTCAGAGAAGAATTTCTTAGTCCATAGATAGGAACCAAAGCTTGTTGAATTTTATTATTAGAGGCAAACTCTTCATTTTTCATAGTTAATTAGGCAATTAAGTTTTCTGACAAGCCCTAGCATTGCAGCATTGTGCAAAAGGCAGCCCATTTGCAAAAGACAAACTGAGACCGAGTTAGAAGAGGCACATTCAAGCACCAGTTAGAACAAAATTCATTGTTAGAATTCAGGAAATCACAGAGATGTTAAATGATTAGTGGATTGCTCAGCTCGTCAGTGTCAACAGAATGGCATATTAAATGAAGGGTTTGCTTCAGGTAGAGAAACACCTGTGAGCATTTCACCATGCACTATTTGATACAGAAATGGCACAAACAGGTGAGGGACAAACATACATTGACTGAACAGTAGTGCTTGTACCTTTCGCTACCACAATGGGCCGTAACACCAATACAGGAAAGCCAGGATTAGGCCGATGAATACGGCTGGGACGGGTTGTAATATGGAAGGCTAAAGAAGGGAAGGGATATTAAAAATCACTTTGTGCTATAAATCAAATCAGGTAAAGATGATTTAGAGAGGGGAAAATAAGTCAGTAAGTTTTGTTTTAAGTGAAATGTATTAAAGACATCTAACACATTATAGCATTGTCTAATCTGGTATACAAAGTTAGTACACCATTCTACTCAAATTAACAAGGATGTTTAAAAATAAAGGGAAGTAAGCAGAAAATGTTCCAAGAAACCTCTTGTCACAACTTAGAATTTAGCACTTGAAAACAATATGAATGTTAAACTGATTTGCCTGTATCTTATTTATAGTTGGTTTTAGTTTTTCTAAGTAAAAGGAAATCCTATTTGGATTTCTTGAGAGATGGACTCACACCAAATATTGGATTTTTCAGCTATTTTTTCATTCCGTGCTAGTTAGCCTTTTCCATTTTCCATCACCAGCCTCTGGAAAAAAACATTTTTTTTCCTCCACTAGTGAATCAGTTACAGCTATGTCCACAGGCAAACCCAGTAGTTCGGACATTTCCGTGGGATTGTAACGTGACTGTACAATCCACATCCAGTTACTACAAAGCAGAGAAGCACATTTCTATCAGAGATACCACAAAGCTCAGCATCTCTGCCAGGTCAGCAGCCTTGTGACCAAATGCAATTCTGAAAACTGATCAAATGCTGCAGCTGGGCCAAACCAGCAGCTGGCCAGACTGCAGGGCTCATCCAGCTTATGGCTCCTCAGAACCAGCCACACTTTTTCTCAGCTGTGTTCTACTCATGGAAACTACTGCACATTCTGGATGGAACAGCCTCTATCTGTGATACGAAAAGTTAAAAGTAAAAATGGACCTAAATGCTTTTAATCTGTCCTTGGAAGACATCTGCTTTCTCTGTATCCTACTCTATATATTTGTGCACACACAAAGACACACAGAGGTTAAGGTCAAACCATGCCGAATATTTTTAAAACTGTTTGTGCTGAAGCTACCTTGATTTTGTTCAGTCAAATAAATAAATGATAAATTCATGCTTAACTTTTCTAAAACATGGTGATTAGTAAGTAAAATCTCATCCTGTTTTGAATTTGTAGGAATCACTAATTTATAGAACCTCCAATATGGTTCAAAATACAGGAATATCAGAAGGTATTCTAATCTTGTTCAATTTTTTTTTCAATCAAGGCAAATACTTAACAGAAAAATTATGTGTAACTGTTGAAGACTTTTTCATGCAAGATTATTTTTGTGTCACAGGTGCCACGAATCACAGTGCCACCTTCCCACAGAAAGCCTGTTGGCAGAAATAATCACAGCAGTGTTCAAAAAGTGCCAGAGGTTTAAATCAACCAGAGCAGCTGATGTTCTCAAACCATTGAGATCATTAAATCTGTTGTGTAAAGCGCATCAGGAGGTAACCAGTGGCTACAAGCATGCAGACACAAGTGTGCACCACACCGCTAAGCATTTCGAAAACACAACACTGCCATAAAAAAGTAAAACTTCAAAATTAAAACTTAATATTTAAATGATATCCCAAATGGAGTACAGAAGTCTTGTCTTTTGTAACATTTGATGATTCACCAAACAACTTTGTAGATATGTTTTTGTAAGTTACACACATTCTTGGCAAATGAAACCAATGATAAATACCATCACATTCAATGAGAGCACCTCCACATTATTAGATTTTCCCCTCACAAGCTTATCAATACATAACAAATCTCCCTGTTGTCAAGGAGCATTTAACTGCATGTTTCAATATAACTGTGCATCTTTTTTTAGAATATGAAGATATGCAAACTCAGACACAGATGGGCTGCAAAAAGGAACAAATCCCACAGTGGGAAGTCACTTTCTGTCCTCAGAAATGAAGTAGCAGATAATGATTCCAGCATAAAGGGGCAATGGTACTTGAAAAATTTGACCTTGGAACTCAGCCCAGTATCCATGATGTTTGAAACAATCCCCAAGATGGATATGTTTTACATTACTGACTGTGAGTAATGTTTGGTGAGCAGTGAGTTTGCCCTTATATGGAGGATGCTCTTCATCACACCCTGACCTCCAGGTTTCAACTGTCACAATTAACTCCTCTTCTGCAAGCAGCATTTGGCAACTGCTGTGGTTTCTGCTTTCACTTAAATACTCACCTCTAATTCTCCCTAAAATCTCCTTTCAGTTTTTCCACTTTCATCAGGTGCTCCAATTTCCTTCACAGTATTTCAACCCTTTACTTTTTCCCCTTTTCCACTGACCATTTTGATTCTGAGATTAATCTTTTTAACAGGGCAGAAAATCTCACATTGAGAATTATTTACTCAGTGTGATCTCTTCTATTAAAATGGGGTGGGGTTTTAGTGTGGTTGTTTTTGACTTCTGCTTTAAGTAAGTCAAGTAACTCTGAGCACTGCAGAAAAATCCTAAGCAAGAATCAGGTTCCAAAAGAATGCTGAAATCATATTCCTGAAAATATGTCTGAAAAAAGTGAGAAAGGCTTTGCATTCTTTACATCTTTGACAGCTCCATGATGTTCAAGGTTTATATTCAAGAATTAATTATGGCAAATATTCATACAAACTTTAGGCATCCAGCTGATTTAGAGGATAGGACCTGTAAAACTTTGCTTGTAGTCAGAGAAACAGTTTGCTAAATTCTGTTACAGAGCATTAATATCCTCCTGTTTTGTACTGTGCCTTAGAGCTGTTCACCCTGCACTGGCCACAGGGGCAGTACAGGAAGACAAAACCAGCCCCCCCAGGGTAGTAAGGGACCTAAAATAAAGCTATGACCACCTTATGTGTCTGCCACACCCTTAACGTTTGGAAGATTTCAGAATCTCAGTAAAATAAAAAGTTGTCTCTAGTTGGCAACTCAGTTCTAATGATACAAGCTTTCAATTAATTGAAAACCAGAAAGCACGGTTTTCATTAGTGAATAGAAAGGACAGTTCAGCTGTACTGCCTAAAGCATGAGCCCACCAGAAATAACCATGGTTAAGAAGCATAAGCAAGAGTAAGGTGGGAACATCCATTGTAATCAATACCAATAAAATGAGAGCAGCTTGAAAAGGTTTACTCAATTCATTTGCATACAGGTTTGTCAGCTATTGCCCCTGTATCATTCTCTGAAATCAGAAAATTTTACTTAGTTCTGGTTGACTAGTATTTAAGCCACATATTTTCAAGAGAGCAGGTATCTAAGGACATACTTTAAACTGTCAAGCAACTGTAAATTTAACTTTCATGTGTAATTGTAACAGTGTAATGATCTGCAAATCTGCACAGGTAGGACTAAAAGGGAATTCTGCATAATATGGTACCCATTTTTTTCTCTAAAAGTCCATCATTTTCTATATGACTCTTCCATATTCCTTCAGTCAACAGAATCGCCAGTGTCATAACCTGACTTCCCCACATATTTGGTACAGACTTACATTGTTTCCTTTTTCTTGTAGCAGCTTCAGGTTTTCTTTACATTGTTTGAGCTCCTCCGTGAGTGACTGGTTTTGTTGTTCAGCCACCTCATACTTGGCCTTCAGCTCTGAGAGCACAGTCTGTGTTCTTTCATACTAAAGACAAGGAGAGAACAATGTGTGGACCCCTGGACACCCAGCACATGCTGACATCTGCTTAGCACACAGCTCCCTTCGCTGTCATCTGCCCAGACTAACTCGCCTTGCATCACTGCACTCTCTTTTCATAAAAGCAGGGTAGAATTTACATTTCCTTTTTTTCGAAATTAAATTTTTTTTGCCCAGCTTGGCAGGGCTAGGACTACCAGACCCAAGGAAATACAAAGTAAATGCAAAGCTTTAATTAATCTCTCATACCAGTTATTCATTATCATATTGGAAAGGACTGTAAAAACTACAAAGATGAAACAAGAAATGGGGGAACAATGAGTACTTCACATTTGAATAGTGGTCTTACATCTAGGCTGCAGGTTACACCCCTCTAATAGGTGCAAAATTCACCACTCTGTATGAAGTAAATCAAATTCTCTTCCACAAAGCAAATTCAAACATAAGAGCAAGGCAGGGATTAAAAAGCATTATGCCACAATCCTCAGTGTGGGTCAAGTACAAACAGTACTGGGTGAATGGGACATGTTCCTACAGAATGGGTAACTTTTCCTTTTTCAAACCCACATTCCATTTTTCCTATTCTAGCAGTCCTCCTGACTCTGTTTAGTAAGGACAGAACCAATGACCTTCTGTACTGGCATTCACCACAAATTTAGAAGATGAGGCATCTTTACAAATACTGATCTGATTACAAAACAGAGATTAAGACAACTGGGATTTTCAGATTCTGAGAATTGTAAAGAATGTGACATGAATGAATTAATCATGGAGTAAACAAAAGGACTGCAAAAGAAACAAAGAGCAGCGACTGGGGAAACATTCAAAATGTTCATAAGAGGAAGTAATTTAAGTGCTGGAGACTATGGCCTTGTCCAGACAATCTTTAGAGGCCAGGCAGATTAAATACATGCTCAGAATGCTGACTCTTCCTTATGCACTTACAAATCCATTAAGATGAAAGATCTTTGTAAAGAATATGTAGTCCCATTGCCAAACAGAAGAGTTCAAATCTAACTGGGAAGATTACACTGTGAAAATTAACTTTGACTCGTAACAGCCAAAGAAACTCTGGACTATAATGTTCATGAAGACTCTGAATAATGATTTACCTGTCTGAACATCTTAAAAGTAAATTCACCACAGTAATGCATGTAAGTAAACTTTAAGAAGTTCTCAAAGAACTTCCTAAACTTCAGGTAAATGTGTATTTCCCTGAAGTCTTCCCTTTTAGATTTGACTCCCAGTTTATATTTTCATAGCTACTATTTAAACTGCTTGCAATAAACATTTGAAAAAATTTATTTACTAGAAAAAGTAAAGAATTAAAAGCCTCTTTTCCTTTAGCTTAAACAGGTCAGTCATTGAGCATTACATTCTTGCAAAATGGAAATATTTCACGTTACCTCTTTCTGAAAATCTTTTGCTTGACTTTCAGCTTCACTGAGTTGAGTTTTCAGACTGGCTGCATCCCGTTGATGTTTTTCTCTCAATGATCCCATCTGATTTTCAAGTTCCTTCCGAGACATTTCAAGAACACTTATATCGCTGGTTAGTGCTAAACTCTGTTTCTGAGAGCTGAAAAACAAAACCCAATTGATTCCTTATGCATTTTATATTTACATAAACTGGCACTTTTCACCCTTGAAAGTTTACCACATTGGTTTTGATTTCTAAATACCAATACAGACCATTATTGCCTCCCTACCAGAGTGCTGACACAAAAGACTGGCCATGGTCTTGCTTTTAAATATATGTCCACAGCTTGCTGTGTATAATGAACTTTTGGGAGGAAAAATCACCATCAGCAATACTCTTCAGCTGCTGTGGAACCCCCCAGACAAACCTTGTGCCCTTACCTAGAAAGCTCCTTCTCTTGTCGCTGAAGTTCAGATGTAAGTGAACTATTTTCCTTCCTCAGTTTAACACATTCAGCTTCCAGAGCAATCCACTCTGCCTTCAACTTGTCAAGTTCGTCTGCAATGAATAAGTTAATTCAATTAAGTAAAATTATTTCATGACTACTTCAAGGAACTAATAAAGGACCTAATAAATGGAGGAAAAGCTGGTATCAGCCATAACTCTCAAATATATTTGTTTGTAATCATGTCACATGAATTCTCTCATGAGCACCTGAAAAACATTACATGATCTTCTACTGTAAAAAGTTTATGACCCAGTGCCTGACAAGTTACTTTTTTCATTAAAGCTTTTTCTAAGCATAAAGAAGTAGAAAACAGTCTTTTTATGGGTCAACTCTAATATTTTAGAAATAGTGGTAGAAAAGTATATTTGAAGAAAATTTCCAAGGCTTCAAAATAGCACGAGAATCACTAATACCATGCCTCTGTTTCAAGGAATAGAATGTTTAAAGCAATAAGCTTTAGTGACACTTTGGTAGAACTAAAAAGTCAGGAGCTCCCCCTTAACACTCTTAAACTATAGAGAAGTTACACAAGTCCTCTTGGAAATTTTTTGGCAGTATGAATCCCTCAAATTGTAAAAGTGGAATTACACTCGGTCTACTGATGTCAAACAGTAATTTAGGCATAAGTTAGTTTAGGCATAATTGATAATAACTCTTTAATGAAGCATGCAAAATGTCTTTTTCTGTGCGCCCCACAAGCCTTGGTGCACACAGATACATACATACAGGTGTGTGTGCACACAGAGTGAGTGACTACAGAGGGACAGAGAAACAGAGCTGTGAGTAACTGGCATCCACCACAGTGAGCAGCAGGATGCTCTGGCAGCCCTGCTCTGGGACATCCTTTCAAGCAAGCACCTTTCAGGCGAGAGGCCTCCTCCCTCTGCTGCTCCTCACACTGCTGGCACTTGAGCTGGAACCGGGATTGCAGACTGACAATTTCTTTCTCATAGTCCGAGGCATCGTTCCTCCAGCGGTCAAGCTCCGCTCGCACCGTCTGCAGCTCAGCTTGCAAGGCAGAAATATCTGTGTCTCGTTCTGAGGCTGCTTTTTCTGCTACTTTTTGAAGTGACAGAATCTCATTTTGAGCACTGACTAGTTCATTTCGAGTGGCTGAGATTTCATTCTCCTTCTCCTTGCGAAGATTCTCAATTTCTTCTTGTAACCTTCGCAACTGAGCTGGAAAGCACACGTTCGTGTCAGCATTTTTTTCAAATGCATTTACAATAAACTTAAAAACCTTACCTCCCTCTCTCAACACATTGATATTTAACAGGGCTAAAGAAGCCTAATGCAATTGAAAAAAAAAATCCTGTCAAATGCTGTACCTTAAAGAGGCAAGTATGTGGGCCATGTAATACACAGAGTCAAAAGAAAGAAAAACCCTAAACCTCGGCAGTAAATGCAGACTAGGACTAAGGCCTTTTGCAAGGAAAGAGCAGCGGAGGAAGCCATGTTAGGGCAGTTTTGTGTTCCCCTGGGGATGCCTTTTTCAGCTGCAGTGTGCCTGGATCCCTGGGCTTTGTGGTTTTCAAACCCTAACCCTAGGGTAACCCTAACCCTGAGTGCCTGAGTAGCTTTACAAACTAACACTTGCTCTAAGGAAGTGACAACATAACACAGCCTTTGTGACCCTAAGGCTGGACAGACTGATGGACTCTTCCCAACGAGCTCACTCACATGCATGGATGAGAAGCTAATGTGATACAGAACACCTGACTGAGAACTTGTGTAAATCATGGGTTACATCCTGCTGTATCCATTCTGGGCTGAAATGAGCACAATTGATGATATCAATTTTCAAAAAGGTGTGGACAGGGTCTCTGTTGCAGCAACTTTACTGAATGCTCTGATGCTGGATGTGGATCTGGATGAAAAATTCCTTTAAAAGGATCCTAGAATGAAGTGAAGAGACTGACTAGCACAAACCACCTAGAAAGCTTCTGAGTGCTCTGCAGGCAGCCACAGTAAGAATCCCTGGATCATCTAGGACTGGGAAAGACTAAAAGGAGATGAAGAAGAGGTACCTATTACAGATTACACCTTTTGCATTTTTAAGTTACTATTACAACCATAGGAATTTAAAGGAAACATTCCACAACAACATTCAAACATATGGTGAAAGAAATCAGATTTAAAACATACACTCAACTAAACATTTTCCTTTTAGTGACTATGATGCCACAGAAACAGTCAAAACTATATAGCTTCCCTAAAGAGTGGGGAAAAAAATTTCCTACCTTGCAGAGCATTTATTTGCTTGTTGGATTCTTCAACTTGCACTCGATATGCTTTTCTCTCTTCTTCCAAGAGAGCTACAAATAAAAGTGAAAATGTGCCCAAGAGTTTTTGTTAGTAACATGAATTTCACCTGTGTAATTAATTTTAGTCACAATCTCTCCTTCAGTGAAAAGATTAAGCAAACATATTACTTCAGAAAGTTATCAAAGGTAGTAAAACTGTGTAAGTAGTTTAATAAAAGTTAATACTAAGACATCATTGCATTATTGTGGTAGTATTACAATTAATTTGAAATTTATACAATCTGTTGCCTGATCTGAAAACTCCATGTGTGCTAAATGCAAACTGGTGTGAGAGGAAGGAAAAAAAAAAGATTGTAAATATAACCTCTAATGCACACTGAACAATATGCAATTAAACTGAACTATACTATTTCCTCTTAAAAACAACAGAGCTACATAGCTGACAGGATGATCTAACAAAGAGCTACCACTGAAGACATTCAATTACATCCATTATCTAACTGAAATAAGGATGAAATCTGAGTTCAAGGATGTACTCAATACTATGTAAACATGTTGGTTTGTCTTGAACTACTTGAAAATTGTAATATATACAATTTTCATGAATACCCTACAGAACCACGTTGATCTGGGTCTCACCTTGAAGTTCAAAGCATTTTTGTTTACTTGTCCTAGCTAGCTCTTGGGCTTCAATCAGCTCCTTGTGCAGTTGCTGAATTTCTTGCTTAGCCTCAGTTTCTGATTGTGCACCCTGCAATTCATCTGACAAAAGAACATTTTCTTTGAATCATAAGTTTGTACAACAGCTTCATTTGCACTGCCACGTGCTGACTGGCAACTTTTTACTCAAATCTTCAAAAGTTAGTTAAAGTAAACTCAAAATTAGATTAAGCAAATATTAGCAAAAATATTAATATACTTTTAAAAGCAGTAAAACATATGCAAACCTTAAAGCATTCATTACACATGACATGCAATGTAAAACAAAAATTAACAAGGAAGAATTAGAGAGTTTAAAAAAACTGCATAAATTGGCAAGGACTTCTGTTTTGACAAAAACATGGAACAACAAAAGCTTAAGACAATCCTTGGCTGTGTTTACAACTTTGTAAAGGAAGCTGCCCTAAGCCTGTCTCAGTGCACAGGCTCAGGCAGAGCTGCTATTCCATGATTCACTACTGCCACCCACCCACCACATTGCCAGGCTCAGCCTCTCCCTCTCCCTCTGGGGACCAACAAGGAAAGGAAAAATTTAGGGAAATTTCCTAAAATAAAATTAAGAAAAAGAAGAAAAATTCCAACCTCCTTATTTCATTTAGTGGCCTTAGTGAATAGTAAGATCAATATTGCACTTGATTTTTTTTAAAACTGCATCTTAAACTACTAAGTATGTCTTTAATATGATCATAAATCTATGCACATGATTTAAACTCTAAATAAAAACATTTGCTCTTCCCCATAAGTTTTGCATTAGCTAAAACACATATCAAATGCCTCTTAGGCTTGTAAGAGAAGACTTGCAGTCACAGAAAATAAAATACTTTTACAGCTGAAGTTTTGGAGGAATTTAAGAGAGGAAAACAGTATTTGTTACTAAGAGCAGTGTCCTCCAATGGGCCCACATCTAGAAATGAGATGCAGGAACACTCCAGCCTGCAGGCATCTGCAAAGCCAGCAAACTCTCATTTACTAGATTTTCCTTCAGCAGTATCTGTGCACAAACTGATCTTTCAGCAGGGACAAACAGCACCAATAAACTCTATGGGTAGAGGGCTGAAACTTGATACACAGCCTGTTTGGTGAGAAAGGTAAAGGAAGAAAACTGGTGAAAGAATTCCAGCTGTGTATCACGAGAGGGGGTGGAAAAAAAAGCCTACACAGTTACCTGGTCAATAAATGTCTGCAACTATAGAGCACATGGATTTAAGATAAAGGCTTAGAAAAATATTATTTTGGTTTGTCTGGACTTTGCATTAATAAGGAAAAAAACCCCAAAACTATAATTTAACTCATCATTATACTTTTGACATTCATATTCAGCTGTATATGTTATCAATAAAACAATTATAGATTTTTTTCCTTGCTCTCTTAATTAAGAAAATAGTTTAGCAAATCATGCTAAAGTCTTCATACTGCATCTCTCTAAGGGGCTGTTTTTCCTGCTCTCACAATAATGAACTGGTGGGTTTGAGCAGAGCTGAGAACACACATGTGCTTTTAGACTTTTTCAGAACAAAATTATGAGAGCAGAAAGAACAGAGAGGACTACATATTTCATCCAAATACTTTGTTTTATGGTTTATTAGCTCTAAATCCAAGTTTCTCTTTACTGAATATGTTTTGTTCTTAGCTTCTCATGGATAAAGATTTAGAGCAATTAGACTTCCAACCCTCTTTAATGAGACTTTTCAGAAGAAATGGATGAGGAAGTCGACAAATTATGCTCAAACCATGCCTGATAAAGAGGCAGTGTCCCAAATCCAACAACAGACACCCTAAATGAACTTTTATGGTGGCAGCAATTTCTAGTCAATGAAAGCACACATCATAAAAGACAGTACTGCTTCAAAAGAGATGAGAGGAAAACTCTTTTCTACATCAACACAAAAGGGGAATTTCCATGTGCCTGACATGCTTCCAAATCAAAAGCCAAGAAATATAAGTACAAGAAAATATTTGCTTCTTAGTCTTACCCAATCTGAAAATTAGGTGTCTTGTAGTTCAAAGCAAATATAAATTTGGTGCTAATTCTAGTTTTGAAAAGTACTTCTTCACTAAGTAGGACTGCCCTATTGACAAACAATAAAACTACTACATATCATGATGCTTAAAATGAGTTCCCTTTAGAAGCAAATTCACATCATGGCTAACTGTCCCCAAAGCAGAATAAGGAGTTACCATGAATTACTAAAAGGTGCCAGTAAGAATTAAATAAAAAAGAAAAGGTCAAGTACAGCATTTTTTCTTCCTCATTCATTTTTTTACCTCGTGGACAATTTTAATCCGCGATCAGTTTGCCACATTTTAAGAAATGTTCTCAATTAACACCACTTTGTCTTCCACACAAATACAGTGAGGCTTCCCTTAACGTTGACTCTAATGGTAATTTTAAAATTGTTTCAAAGACTTTTTTATAACCATTTTAATTTAATTTTTTTTTATAACAGAGATAATACAGAAGCCCACCCAGGCTGTGGTCTTAACTGATCCTTTATCTGTATGTGCCTGGCCTGTGGAAGCAACTTTATGAGCAGGCTGGTATTTCTAAAAGTTCACCTTCAGAATTTTGCACGATTTCTCAGGTTATTTAGAAGACAATTTTCAGGGTACTCAGGTGAAGTCAGACACAACAATTTCAACCCTGAGTTTTTTTTTTAGCTTCATAAGATCCACATGAAGGAAACTGCACCATATGTTTAAAATAAAGTATCTGGTTATTCTGACATAAAACAATGGTTCCCAAACTTTCTGAGCTGACAGACCACTGCTGATTTTCAAAATTTCTTATGTAAATTACCACTATTCAGCAAATCCTCAGCTGAAACACTTCCTGCTAAGATTCCATGGATCACGCTTGGAATTACTATGAAAACACAATGACATTGGTAAGAACAAGATTACCAGTCCTCCAATGACATTTACTGCTCCTTTCCATCTGTTCAACATTTACCTGCCCTAAACTTGGCAATAAGTAGTCACAAACAGCCTGTTTAAACAGAAGTGTCCAGGGAACTGTGATGAATGGTAAATAAAGTCATTCACCTTGTGGGGGAAAAAACAAAACCAACTCATCTGGCACAGCTTCCCCCCTTCCCCTCCTTGCCAGATTCTGATTTGTAGAAACTTCAATCAAATCCTGAATGCACTCAAAAATTTTGATGGAAAATTGCTTGGAGGAATCTCCAGCAACCAGAAGTCTCATAATTTTCCTGTTCCATTAATTTCTTTTGTAAATTTCAGCAAAACCTCTGCCTTTTCCAGCGGCCGTTTCTGCATTCCAAACAGCCGCCAGATCAAAAATGTTCTCACTCTTCCTTAATTGTATGGCTGCATAACAAGTCCACTTGAAACCCTTTCTGAGACCAATCAGATCCTTTTTAGGACAAAGTCAGGCACATGAAGTCGGTCTCTGAAAAAAAACTCAAACAAAACTGTGGGTTTATAGGCCCTTCGTAAAAATTAAAAGGGCAAATGATTCATTGCACAGATATTTTTTAATGGTTTCGTGAGAGCAAAATAGGAAGGCCCATAAATAGCCTCAAGAGGAAGAGAAAAGTTGCTGCCAACCTCAGTTTTATAACCAAAAATAAGACTATTATAATCACTACAAACAACATTATCAAAGTCTACCTTCTAGCATAGAAAGTCACTGAACATACTTGTTATTAGTTGCAGATATTACAGCAAAGCCCAACGGGAACATGCCCGGTATCTCAAACCCTTCTTTCTAAACTGCTTTGCTGAACTGATGTCCACTGGGAAACATCAAACTCCATTTTATGCACATTGCCAAACAGCAAAAGTAATCTGTGCAATTTTTGGAAGCCTTTCTGTCGTAAAATTAGGGAGTGTAAACAATTGCAGAGAAAGCTCTTTTACAGGTCTCCTACGTTCCGTTATGGTTTCCTTTTTTCCTGAGTCACAAAGAACTGTGACATTCTTTTACCTGTGATCTCAATAGGAGGATAATTTTACAGATCTTATCAAGTGTCTCATTGTTAAAGAAGCATAAAATGATTTTCAATAGGCTAAATGTAATAACTAATTATTATGCCACAGAAATCTTCAGTAATGAGTATGTAAATATCAGCTTGCTAATTAAGTATATGCCTTCAATGCATAAAAACCAATAAAAATTTTACATTTATAGAAACGAAGCTCAAAGCTAAGCCTCAGCCATCATTACAAATACAGCTACAATACAAACTTCCAATCTTGACTGTGTTAAAAAAGAAAATCTAAAATCTTGTTTTGATTAACCCATCACTGCAAACTAACAGAAGCATTTCTGACAGTGATGGAAGCTATGCAAGTAAAATGCTTAAAAAATGTCAGTGGTGGAACAATCCCCAGCTATAATCTGAAAGGTGTACTGACTCTAATTCTCAAGTCCAAGTTGTAACATGTAAATTCCTAGAACAGCGTTGGTGAGTACAGAGATTACATTTATACACAGATGATTTCTATAGCAACACTCACAAGTGTGTTTTTATATCACTCAAAGGAGTCATTACTAACATTTAAATTTAACTCTTCCCTACTACATGATTAACATCTTTGAATTCCAGAATTCTATTTTAAATATTTTTTTTATTTTATAAAAACAAGGTAGATAAAAAGATTACATATACAGATTATGCATCTGAAATTGAAAAAGTAAATTTGTTTTACCTTTTAGAAGAGCTACTTTGACAATAGGTTCATTTAGATCTTGGTCATCCATTTGAGCATCTAAAAAGAAACCCCACACCTTTCAGAGAGCAGGCAGACTGCAGACAGTTCTCATATACACATTCTTTACATGGACAGAAGATTTTATGTCCTTCTCACTTTACAGGAGTCAAATTATGAAGCCACAAAATAAACCACACTGCTCTAAGCTTGTCTATGTATAATATACTGCATGATTTTAAGAAAATGCTCCTAATTACCTAGATTTAATTTAAACCAATTAGAGGTTAGACAAATCTCAGTTACACTCTTACCTGTAGTGTCGTCGCTGCTTTTTTCCTTGCTCGGGCTAAGGGTGTCAGACAAATCGTTCGATTCTTTGACTCGTGCTTGGTTTTCTGCAAGAGACAAGGAAAAGCAACTACAATCAATAAATGCTTTGTTCATCATTTCTCCTGTACACCAAACTACTGCTAAATGTCCAGAGAAAACAACTCGGTTCAAGAAACAGTTAAAAACCTGCTGGGTGCTTATTTCTTTGCAAGCCTGGGCTAAAATGGATTCCGCATCTCTGGAATCATTAACCCAGCCTAGCCTCTAATGAGGGATGCAATCGCCTCGTGCACAGCTTGAGCCTGGGTTAATGCTGTGCTCTTGCCAGCTGGAACTGTGCAAAAGCTGATTCAATCAGCAAACAAATAAGAAATGAGAACTAGAACAATGCAGAGACTGTAGCAAGTCAAAGAAACTGCTGTAAAGAATAAAATTGTGTTTCAATATTTTGAACAAATTACATAATAACAAGACTTGCACATACCGTACTGTTCAAAAGAAGCATGGTGCGAACCATTAAAGAATCACAGCAATATAAATTAATACATGAGTTTCTAGAAAGACCTTTCAGTTTAAATTGTATTAAGAGAAAGTCTTATAAGTGTTATGTTGTTCCCACAAAAAAATTACCCTTGTGAAATATCTGTTCATATATAATTCAGCACTTTTATTACAGCAGCTCAGTGAGGGCACACAGTTGGTTTTGATGGGCTTTTTTGGTTTTGTTTTTGGTTGGATTTTTTGGTTTTGGGTTTTTTTTCCCCAGCTCTAGACTTTCAGACGATATATTTTCAAAATCAAAGACATTTTATTACACCAGTGCATCTCTGTCCCACACAGAATCACTCCTGACTCAAAGTCTAAATATTACACATGACGGACATAAATTTTTAAAAATTTTTCTTAAATAACAATTACTGTTTAGTTCTGATAGGTCCATTGAAAAGAGCAGATCATTTCTGGTGCAGGCTAACCCAGCAGGTCTGTCAGCAAGGAACTGTCACCAACATACAGGTGAGGTTATACAAAATGAAATCTTTCTTGGCTGCCTATTCAGAGCCTGGCTCTGACAGCTCTGCTGCCCACCTACAGGTAACCAGAGGTTTCCTCTGAGTCTCAAGTTCCAGCAGAGTCATTATATGAAAAGGGGTCAGTACAGAATTCCCAGTGCACAGACATCTCCCACCATGGAGAAAAGCACAGGGAACACAAATAATTTCACCACATACAGATAACAGGCATGCAACAATGAAGTACCAGGACACAGGACGAAAGAAGCTCATCAGTAAATAAATCGTGTTACACAACAGGGTTAGTATATGAAAATAAGTAAAAACCAAGGGAATAATAAGACATCTTTTCAAATAACAAGAAAATACACAGAACTAACTTCCCCCAGAACAAAAGAAGCGGAAACTGGAGACAATCTGTGCGGCTGCATGAGGAAATCAACATGACAGAACACGGAGAGAAAAAAAAACGAAAAAGCCCACAAAGTTTTCTCAATCTAAGATGAAAAGTTTTCTATAACTCTGTGCCAGATTAACATCCACTTATCCATGAAACAGAAGGCAGCAAGTAGAAACAAAGCAGCTGGTGAAGAGGGAGACTCTTCCCACCCTAACGCAACTGAAACCACCGGAGAAGAGGAAGGGGAAAAGCACCTGCACAGTTAAAGCACACCAGAGGTTCAGACCTGGCAGGTATTACAAACACAATTCCCATCTTAGCAGACTTCAAAATTCATAATGATTGCTTGTAGTTAAAAACCTAATCTCTGGGGGTAGGTGGTTCTTTGCTAAAACAAAAAGGGATCTTATTTTTAACTAATATCTAAAGGTGTTTCAAATCAAAACATTGTACATTATCGTATAGAAACAAGCTCACAGGATTGTCACTAAAACTGTAATAATTACTAAACCAACACATTAATTTCTTAATAAAAAATAATTATTAAATAATTATTTTAAAAAAGTATAACCTAAAAGCCTCACCCATGTCACTTCATTGAGTGGCCGATCCAGAAGCACTAAGCTGAGCAAGATCCACATGCAACTAACTTTACCATATCTGGGCATCCATGGAAATACAGCTTCCCTGCTCTGTGCAAAATGGGAGGAACAGTGCAGTTCCAGCCACTGGATTAATTCTCTCTGCCACAGCACCCCCTTATATACTTCCCTCCCACCCACCCCTGGTCCACCAGCTTCTTTCCCTCTCTGAAACAAAGCACAAAAGATGAGGCACCAGAGGAAAGATGCACCAGTTCTACATATGCAACAGCAGAAGATAAATTATTAGAAACTTGCTTCCTATTCTGGAACCAGAGTCGTAAGCACAAAACTCTTTCCTGTACTATATTATACCACAGCAGTTGTTCCTATTTCCCATAATAAAACTGAGCTGAATAAATATAGCCAAAGTGATAAAGTATATTAAAATGTGTTGACATCATAGTTGATGAGTTAGAATATATTACCAAACACTAAAAATAACTCAGAGCTTTGCAATGGAAGGGGCATGCAAGTGTTACGTTACAGTTATTGTATGCATTCTTTTGCCAAATATGGCACCTGGTCTATAGCTTCCTCACTACAGAAAGGAGTTAAAGGGGCCATTCCATGCACTAAAGGAAGAGAAGACAAATTAAAATATCTCTATAACACTGGACCTTTTAGCAAACGAACATTTATTCAACACAACAACACTTGGCAGAAGCTCAGAGGGTAAAGAACTGAGGCAGTCTGTCCAGACATCAATAAAAAGCTGCAGGAGAGGAGTGAGCCTGCAAGTCCAAACAATCTTACATTATTAGACACTTGAGAAACATTGACCTGCACACTTGTCACCAGTCCTGACCTTGGCATTGTAAGGTAAGGGTGACTGTTCCTTGAAAAGTCTTTTCTAATTAGCTCCTTTAATTTAACTGGCTTTATACATTAGAGAAAAGAGCTGGAGAGGCACAGATATATTTTACTTGTAAAAGACACATTTAGGAGGTTAATACTTAAAGTTATGAGATAAGATAGAAAATAATCAAATTAAAATACACTTATTTAAAACTTAAATGACACCAAACATTATTTCTATGTAACCCAACAATAAAACCAAAATCCCATTTGGAATTCATGCAGGCACTAAAGCTTGAAATGAATTTACAAAACCTACTTTTTTTTAAAATGCATATTCAAGTAAGAACTCAGTCAACATTGAGACTAGCATTTCATGCACTCAATCTTAAAAAATGGTTTCCATTAAATCTTTTTAGCCTACAAGAGTATTTGGAGTAGAGTTCAGCAAACAATTTGCCTCCCCTTTATTGAATTTCCCTTCAAATGCGTATTCAATAAAACTCAAACTGCTGGCTTAACACAGAACATGCACTGAGTGACAGAAAAAGCATGCTTCAAAAACAGTTAAATAATCCAGAAGTCTAACCTTTCAAAAGCTTTGTTTCTTCCACTTTGGTTAGATGTCCTTCATCTATGATCTTGTCTGCCAAACAAAATAAGTGTTACTTTCCAAGCTCAAATTTTCCCTGCACGCATCTACGTAGAGTACATTCCATGACCAAATTAAAAGCTGATAATATTACTTCCTACTCAGCCTTGAACAAAAACTTTATTCTGGCAAGGAATAATGAAACAGAGCACACAAGCCTACCAGAACTTTGTGATACAGTGCATAATTATTTCTCCTTATTAACTTACATAATGCTGCACTTCACTAATGAGAATTTAGAAAAAATAATTTTAGGTACTTTAATAAAAAAAATCAGAAATAACAAATAATTAACACGTTTCTCAAGTTTAGTTATCAAAAAAGGAATTTGAAGAGCTGGCTGCATGAAAGAGACATCCACCCAACACAGCAGAAACCTAAAAATGCACCACAGTAACACAGCAATAGAGAAGTCCCCTCAACATCACCACTGCTTTTAACAGTGCCTGTGAAATGCACACAGAAACAGCCTTTCTTTGTTTAAACCTTTTAAGAGAGCTGCACAAAACTCCAAAAATTAGGAATGCATTACATACAGGTTCATGAAAATGCAGTTCTTATCCAAAGTCTACTTCAGGGAAGTCTACACATGTATGTGAGGTGCACCAAAATCTTAGAAGTGGAATTTGAGACTAGACTGCTAACTTCATCCTAACTCCTGCTAGGCTATGAAGATAAACAAGAACACCAAGGGAAGAACAGGACTGGATTAATGAAGGACACTAAAAAAAACTACTGAATAATTCATTTCTTTTTGCAGATGAGATTTCATTATTTCTAATTCCTTAAGAAGCAATGCCAACACAGAAGTATCGAGGATCCCATCTGACAGATCACGTCCTCAATCTCTGTGCAGCAGATTTTACAGTCTAGTCCATGCTGAAAGCTGTTAGTCCCTGAAATATCAGGCTTTGAGAAGCTGCCTCTGCCTCCCCTCCATGGTGTCCCTGTCAGAGCCCTGATAACCAGGCAGGCAATGCCGTTTGCTGGATACTCCATGTGCTGTCAACAGCAAAGAGACACAGAGAAGGCTGAATGAACAGCACAAACAGGAGAGCTCAGACTAAAGAAGCTGGATGACAGTAAGTCCTCTTCAAAAAACTTGACTTTAAGCTTTTTCAGCTTCAAGTATCTCTGAAGATTAACTTGTCCCTCTATTCCTCTGTTGGCATGTTGCTGTAACTATGACAACCTAAGGACAGATGCAGGACAAGATCTGGGAGGAGAGACCTTTTACAAATCTAGATGGCAGACAAACTTTCAGACAAAAAGCCCTCAAGTCTGAAGAAGGGTTTTCATGGCCAAAAGGTTGTCCTGTACTCTGCTCTCTCCCACACAGACAGATAAGCCAGTGGAAAAGAGATGTTCCCTTCACCTACTTTTATCTACAAATATTATTCTGCATTAATGTAACATTTCACTAACACTGCTTCAGAAACACATGGAACAGCACATTGGATTTCAGGACTGGCTTTAGGTCTCAAGCAACTGTAGGAGATCACTCATCATCTAAGTTCAGAACAGCCTCAAGTTCCTCAGAGCTGGTGAGAATGACTGCCTAGACAGAGGACAGCACTGTGGAGGGAATCAAGTTACTGGCAGCCACAAAAGTCAGGAGTTCAAGTGATACCATGACTCTTCTTCCATTTTAAAATAAAATAAATCTAAACAAAAGTCTTCATATATGATTATTCCAGTACTGAGCTGTGGCTGGAAGAGGGGTGGAAGGGAAGGCAGCAAGAGAAAAGCTGGGGAATTCTCCCTGTAGATCTGAATAAAACAGCTGAATGCAAAAACAAGCAGCTTTCAACTGAGCTGAAGGGGTAACAGCTCAACCATGCTGGACTGCTAGCTTAAAATAGGCTTCTGTAATCAGCTTACAGAGGAAAATTTAGCATTATGGATTGATGCATCTTCTAGCTTTCTCAATGCAGTAACTGTTAAACCCTGAATCAATAACTGCAATAAAAAACAAACTACCCTTCTTGACACAGATGTTTTCCAGACTGAAACTTCTGCATCAGTTCTTTACACTCTGGTTCCATGACTAAAAGAAACTGCAGGCATGGGGGGTTTTTTTGCCTTTTTTTTTTCCATTTCCATGGTGGCTTATTGTTTTCTAGAGCCCACTACTGATTGGACCATTTTGTACAAAAGGTACATCCTTGGCACTGTTCCTGCAGCCAGGACCTGGAGCAGCAGCACACGGGGCTCTGCCCCAAGGCTGGCACAGCCAGGGTTTTGCACCTGGACTGACACCGCTCCTCACTTCCAGAACAAGTCAACATTCTCTGTGTTTCAAGAATGCTACCATTAATACATGGCATAAGCTAACAAAAAATAGATGAATTCAGCATGCTGGTATTTAGATACTACAGATATGGTATTTTAGATGCAACAGTGGTATTGCTGAACTCCATAGAATCTTATTTTTCACTGTTACCACCCCAGTCACTAAAAATGGCAGAATCTAGACAACGAGGGGAAAAAAGACAGAGACATCTGCTTTGAAACAGCTCTTTCAAATCTCTGCATTTTTAAATTTTACTATTTCAAAACTTCATAAACTTTGTTTGTTTTTAAATCACTTAGTGTTGTCCCTGAATCAAGACATTCAATCTTGGCTACCAAAAGATAAACTAGGGTAGGAATCTCAGCTTGAATTTCTGGCACAAAAGAACTTTAGCTTTCCTGCTATCCAGTTCCTACTTAGCAGAAAGCAGAGAGGTACAAAAACTAATGTTGTTACTGACACAATCTGCTGTGAAGTTAAGTTCTCAGTTAGTCCTTAAGATAATTCATATTTTCTTCTGCAGCTTAAAGCCAGATTTCCTTTAGGTTTTTATGCATTTCCTGTATTTTCAATTTAAGAACTCAATTTTAGATTTAGGTTGCCTATCACTATGTGCAATATAATAACTAAGATCTGTTAACATTACAATTATCCCTTAACTAACATGGCCCCTCTACATTTATATTTTGCCATCAAAGTAGTCTTTGAAGTAGGCCAGGTTTGAAAACCAATAAAAAACCTGTCCCTTGATGCACAAATTTCCAACCATCTGAAAAAAGTCATACTAAACAGTTTTAATTTAGACACCTGCAGGTCAAAGGAAAAGTTAAAAATAATTAATTCAATCCATCCAAAAACTACTATTAATAAATCTGCAAAAATCAGCTTGGTGAAAAGAAGGAAGTTGACTTGCATTTAAAATCAAATGCAAAAATCACAAAGTAAGGGGGGAAAAAAGGACACAAATAAAGAAGAGTTAGACTGGAGTGAAAGCCAGGAAGTGAGCAGGGCAACAAACCTCACTTTGGTCTATACATCATCACATTTTGGCTAATAATGCACATCATGGACTGATCAAAAAGAAGCACCATGACTTCTGCTCTTCACTGATTTTGATCAGTGGTTACTAAAAAAAAAAGCTATGGAATGAGCAACAAGTGAACTGGATGTAATGATCAGAAAGTAAGAGACTTCCCAGATCATTCAGAGCCAGATTTCATAACACTCCACAGATGTCAGAGGTCAGGACATGTTACTGGATGGTGTTGTGAGAGCACTGTGCTTAAAAAATAAAAATAATTACATAATACCTTTAAAAATCTACAGAAGCTGGATTTTACAAACCATCTGGTTTCTGGGATTTTTATTATTATTGTTTAAGTAATAAAACCCCAGCATACCACCCCCATGATGAGCTCCATATTCTTGCTCTGTACTGCCAGTCTGTATGATATTGTTCTACGCTCTTTGCTGTGTGCCTTACAACTTCATTTCCTGACAATCTCTGAACTGTGATTTTTCTCCCCAGGAGTCCCCAGCTCTTGATGCTACACAGAGCAAAGAGCAGGAGTAGAACTGAAGGGCAACATTTACATACAAAAGGCAAAAAACAGATGCTACAGTTTGCAGCTTTTAACCTCATGATATTGTGAGGCCAGACTAAACATATTTGAATATGGAAAAGGTAAACTTTCAGTCCAAGAAGAAATAAAAGAGTCAATGATTTGGAATTTTTCTTGATGTGAGAGTAAAAACTTAGACTGTCATAAAAAATGCAAAATCCTGAGCTCTTTTGAACTCTATTAATTCCTTTAAAAATGAAGCAGTTGAGGCCTGGCAGTTCTTTCACTGTAGCTTGAGAAAGGGTAAGCATAAATCCACTGATCTTAATTTTACCCTTATCAGTACTTCTTTAACATCTTAGAATATTTTACTAGATACTGTTGATCACTTTTCCTTCTCAACAGTGACAGGACTGGTCACATTTCATTTGCACTAACCTAATTTTGCCAAAATAGGTTAAGCTAACATCCAAACAATGAAAACAGGTAACCAATTTGTATTTGAACATTGCACAGTGTGCTCTTCATGTTCTAGACAGGAAAAATGTTTACTCAAGCATTTAACTTCATTTTTTACGTACTGAAAAACAAGATTCATACAAGATCTTTGCAAAATTTAGAATGATTTTAAACTGCAGCCTCACAGAAGACAGCTACCAGTGGTTATGTTTTTAAATAAACATTTTTCAAATAAAGATTAAATCTTCTTAGACAAACATTAGTAGTATCATGTAACTTGGTTTATGGCACTGCAGTCTGGATCACAAAGAGTCAACTCAAACAAGTCTGCTGCCCTTCCTCATGAAAATTTGAGAGGAAAGAGTCTAATGGCCATAATGTCAAAAATGATCCTGTCTTATTTTTGCTTGTAAATGCTTCTCTACTTAATTTTAGGTACATAATTTCTATAAACTCTAAAGTAAAAAAATCCCAGTTTTTTTTTGAAGTTTAATACCACTTTGTTTCTCTTCATTCTAATGATATTTTTCTTTCAGTAGGCAAAAAGTATAAATATCTTCAGTTTTTCTTTAATTATAGATGTGCAGACAGTGCTGTTTCATTACTCATTTTCAAAAGCATTTGCTTTGAAAAGCATGTTTCACATTCCAGAATAACACATCTTTCTAAAGACTGGTATGCAATTTTCTGTTTTTCTTAGAACAGTCTCTTAGACTTCCACTTACAAACTATGGACTTGTTTTCCCTTCTGTTTTTTTGTTAGAACTAATCTGGAGAATGTGTAAAAGCCTTTAATTATCAGATAAATTACAGCTAAGTGAAAAGGCACCTCATTCTCTGTCCTTTGCTGCCTGTGATGTTTGCTTAAACTGACAGGTTTCAACTTAATTTGTAACAGGAGAAAAACGACATCAGTTTTAAACTCCATGTGGCAAAATCACCTCCCTTTTGTTGGTCAGGGTACAATGATGGATGAACTGAGAAGAGACAATGTGACCATCACTGTGCAAGAGCAAAGATATCCTATTACCCCTGCTCAATACCACAATGCCACAATTCCATGCTTAGAAAATTTCTGCTACTACAGAAATATTCAATAGTAGTGACAAATTCTGGTTTCATCCACCTTTTCTGTGCTTTCTGTTGTTTTTAAAGCAAATGTGAACACTCTTGTACTCACTCTGACATTCTATGAACTGATGAATAAAAGTGCAGTCCCCTCCACTCTTTGAAAGAAAGTGCTCTAGTAGAGAAAGAAACACTTCAGTTTACATCTTCTTATCATTTTCAAATTGATGCAACAAAAAATTTGAAAGGCATATTAACAATAATTGTCAGTGTATTCACGGTGGACTTTTGAATCAAATCTGAGTTAATATGCAAGCAGACAAGACATGAAATTGAAATGATGTCTGAGGGATACTAGGAAATAGATTACTCTTTCAAACTGGTCAGAAGATAGAAGTACTTCAGCTGCATTTTCAAAAGAAACATGTTTTTAACCTATATTCTTCTGTATTTTTATTAGCTTTAAAAGGGTATTTTAAAAGTTTTTCATTAATCTTCATGTTGATTCTTCATATCTAGAATCCTTTATTTTAAAAGTGTTATTGAATATATGTCTATACTTTTTAAACAGTTTCACTTTGAAAAGACAGTTCTGCAGCAGAGTTCCTAAAACTGGGCTCTGTTCCCAGGTCCTTGCTCAGCCCCCAACTCCATGAGAATCCTGCATCTCCTCAAGGTGCAGACACTTCCTTTCTGAAAACCTCAGAAATCCTTTGAGCAAGAGTCCAGCAGTGGGACAAGGCTGGCACCAGTACAAACCTGCAGGATGTGCTGCATTCTAACCAAACTGCTCAATCACTAGCTCTGATAACAGAAGTTCAACTGCTAAGCTTTACTGTACCTCAAAGTCACTCTAAAAAATAAACTTTCTTAACCCACAAGGACAGAGCTTTTACAAAACAGCACCATGGCTATAAAATTTATTTTCCACATTTAAACTTCCTTTTTTTATTTTCTTTCAATTTTAACCTGGTCCTCTAAGTGATTGTATACCAATTTCTCTTCTTTATACAACATTTGGCTCACTAAATTTAAAAATGAAAGCCAGGTGTGGTGCAACACACTGAGAAAAATACCACTTTTTGAAACAATCTAGTTCTACACAACTTTTATCAGGGGCTTGCTATAACAACAAGTTCCTCTTTTCTGCATGTCCAGTGAGAGAAAATGAATGCCTAACATCATCCTCTAATACACTTTTTTAATTAAAAGCTGCTGGAGAGGTTTCAGTTCCTCTAGCTCTTAGTTCCTCTGCCCTGAATACAGCTCCTGACTGCTACAGCCACAGAAAAAAGGGATGTAAACCATTATTCCAGTCATGGCCAGGTAGTGTGCCTGTGCACACACTTTGAGAGAAAGAGAGACAAAAGAATTTTTAAAAGCATACTGATTTTACATGGGCTTTACAGTTTTCATCTTTCAAAGTTGCTCAATCTGCATTATAAATCCAAAAATTCTTAGCTCTTCTAAAATAATGCAGAACTACATAGCAAAAAAAAACCCAACAAACCAACCAACCAAAAAAACTAAAACAAAAACCCCAAACAAATAAAAATCCCCAAAAACAACCAAAAACCCCAAACCAAAACAAAACCCCAAAAACCCTCCACAAAAACAAAAAAAAATCAAAATCAAACAAAACCCCCAAAAACCCAGCAGTAACTGCTTCCTGCTGCTTTTAAGGGAACAAAATCCAAAATCTGACAGAGCAAATAATGCCCATCTGTCATACAAGGGCTACACAAGGGACTGGAAATGCAGAAAGGCACAGACTGTCATGAGGAGCACACAGGGCAGCAAGCTGTAAAATGCCACAGAAATGCAGATGGATCAGGTAAGGCAGAGATGCAGGAAAATGTACAACTGACAGAATAATGAAAAGCTGCACTAAAATACAGAATAATGGAAGGGCATGGTATGTGCATGACAAAAAAGGTGATAGATTGTATAAACACACAGAAAGAGACTGGAATGAGCAGTTATACGTTGTCTGTACTCAAAGAAAAAGAACCTGGCAAAAAGCTTCCTAAAACTTCCAGGTTTAAGTACAAGTTCCTCTGTTACTCATGGGATGGAGGAATCTATTTTGTCATGCATCAATTCAGATGACACTGACTCTTGCACAACCCAAAATAAGTCCAAAAGGGATTACTTCTTCACCTTTGACCAAAAAAGTGAGTTTCAGTGATACAATGATATTTGTTATAATCACACAACTTTAAATGGGCAATTTTAAAATTTGGACTTGTAAAAGCTATCAGTATTTAAAAATCTCACATGACATTCCTGCCAACAATTTTAAAACAAATAAAAAGTGTTTATTTTAGAAAAATCAAATCTAGTATCATGTCATAAATCATTCCTCTGTAAAATCATTTATATTTGAAGTTAGAGCTCAAAAGCTTTTACAAAATGTGTCAAGTTAGCTCTAGTTTACAAAAGAGAAAAGCAGATCTATTTCTTAACCATTCTATCAAATATTAAGCTATTACCAACCTAAAATTGGGCATCAGCAAGACGGAAATCTATATAAAAATAAAATCTCATGGCAGTGTAGAGAAGTGGGAACAAACATTGCATGTCCTGCTTGCTAAGCTCAGGATGCACCACAGCTAAGGGCACAAACTGCTGAGGCCCTCAGGAGGAACCAGAACTCTGAGCTTCAGGGGGGCTTTGGTGCAGCTCCTGTAGGTGTTAAACTGCTGCTCCCAATAAGGAGGTTATATCATGATTAACTTTTGATTTTGCTATTGGTCTTCCTAGTTAAGAACCTCATAATTTATAAATATGCATATGAAGCTTTCAAATTCTGTTTCAAAAATATAAATACAGGAACCCTTAAACACTGTGAATATTGGTTAAAACCCTGAGCTCTCTATATAGGTCCCTGAACCTCCAAAACAGTGCTACCACCATCCCTCATACAGTAGAAGCAAGCTACATCAAGGAAAAAACTTAAATTGACAAATACATCTCAGCCAATTAAACAATCTGGAATCATAACTGGACTATTTTTTGCTATATGTGATATTGGACAATTTCACTCCAAAAACTGTGTATGTTAAGACACATGAGCTTAAGTATTTGACTCTAACTAACTGGCCTTTAAAAACCCTATCACTTTGTTCAATCTGTATTAATTCCTGTTTCACATAAAGATACTTCTGGAGTTTTTAAAAGTTAGTTTTCACTGTTTATAGATTTTATATACTCACATTTTTCGTATTAAAGTTATAAAAAAATAGGTTTTGCTGACTTTACTTATCATACCCAACTTTACCAGAAAAACACTGTATGTCTATGTGTCGCAATGGAAAATTAAAAAGAAAAAGAATCAATGAGCTCTCCACTTTCTTGTGTCAGAACCCTCACAATATTCAGTCAGTAGACTCCTGATTCCAGTGACAGCCCATCACAAACAAAAAAAAAACCAAACCAACAAATAGAGACAGCCTCCAAGTGGTTTTGTTGTATTTTGCAGAATTTTCTAAAAACACCGTGACTGGAAATACACACAAAAAAACCCCAAAAAACTGGTCAGGAGCAGACAAATTCATTTGCAAAGAGAAAAAATTCCAAGCAAAACTTTAGAGAACATTTTGAATTTGTTCATTTTCAAACATCAACCATAAGATAAAAGGTAGCCCTCAGATACACTACCTTTCTCTGTGCTCCCATTTATTTTAGGTATGAAGTCGTCAACTTGTATGCCTAGGATTAAGAAAGGGCATTATTTTTGGAATAAAGAAAAATGTTTTGGGCTTTCTTTATAAACACAGCATTTTGAAATGTACCTGGCTTTTCATACCACCTCCTCACAAGTACCTAATCAGACAACCCAGGCAGTTTGATGTGTTTCCTGCTAGAGATGATGCTGCTGTTTGTTCAAACGTCTAAGAGGTTATTAACGCCAAAGAGTGACTGCCTATTACACAGATAT